GTTTCTTGGAAGAAAAACAGAGGCTGTAGCCAAGGAAGCCGAAGATCCCACAAAATCCAGCTGAAATTGAGGCAAGACTCTTCACGATAGAGTTGAATTTACATACCAGGACAAGCTGAGGGTAATCCCGACACATCTTTATGATTGAGGAGCACGCATGCCTTCTCACATTCTTCACTGCTCGAGTTCTAGGAGCCTGGACAGACATAACAAACTTCAATGCAACAAAACAAAAGTTCAGACAAATGCAGGGTATCTTCAAGAGACAAATGCATTACATCATTACATGCAGTTTTCTACACTGTTGAGTACGGATCAAAAAAGCATTTCCACACCCCCCACCCCAAACAGTTGTGCAACAACCAGATTTCCTCTGCAGCAGTAGCCAACCCAAGAAGCCCACGTTTGAACAAGCTGTGCTCAGGGAGAGAGGATGCCATGGATCTTACTCATTATTTCAAGACCCCAAGCACTCCCTAGGTAGCTGGCAGCTTTAGAGCCATCCTTCACAGCCACGCATACCAACCACTGAAGAGAACCCACAGCTAATGAAGAGATTCCACCCTCAGGAAGGCCAACACAGACTTTGGGACTTAAGTGCACTGGCCTTAGACCACACCTGTGGTCTTTAAGTTTGTGAGCCAAAGCTTATTAGGCGATGTCAACCGAGGACAGATCAGTTACATCTAGACTGCCCAGCCCTTTACAGGAGCAGGACTATACTTGAGAAGCCTACTACAGCAGAGTCTTCAGACTCAGTGTGCTCTCAAAGAGAATATAATTTGGTCCCACTGTTATAGCTTATAAATAGAGAATAATTCAGACGTACCTTACTTTCTTCTATAACTTCAAAGGTAACTGAAGCAAACAGCTGTGAGAAAAGGGAGGAAAAAAATCCAAAACCTCATGTCATTTGTTATTATCTAGCACTCACATGTGTTTTGAGCTCAAGGAATAGATCATAAGACTTCAGTACAATTTCATTAAAGTCAGTGAAGAACCCTTGACTAAGTTGACAGATGACTCATCAGCACAGCGAGGCCTTGAAATAAAACACAGCATTTACTGGCCAGAGTGTGCACTTAATGTTAAGATTTAAGTCTAGGAACTGCAAAAATTGCGTTATTTGACATTCTTTCTTTTTGAACAAGACTCCATCTCAGTTTTTGCCATCTTCAACACGAAGGATAGTCCTTCCCTGACAGTAAACGCCAAGAGGATTAACTCCTGCAGTTTAGTACAAGGAGCTTGTACCACAAAAAGCCTACTTGATTTTAGCATGGTCCGCAAGTACCTACCTTGGAAAGTACTTGCGGTAGGTATTCTGGTCGGTAAGTGACAAATGGGAAGAGAGCAGAGACATTGGTGAGCACACAGGACAGGATGAGAGGATCCTTTGTTTCAAAATTAAGGACAAGCTGCAGCAGATCTATGCCATCGTTCACTGGGATTTCCTACAGAGGCAGGAAAGGGAAAGCAGAAGGAAAAAAAAAAAAAAGGAGGCAACACTCAGTACTTCAGCCTGTAGCGCACATCCCACAACTCCTAGAGATAGGCCACGGAGCTGCTGCTATCATATCAGGCCTCTCAGTTGAACACAGCTGTTCTCAAAGCAGAAACAAAAGCAGTAGAAACCTCAGCTTAACTGTGTGCTGTGTGCACTTGCTGGGGGAAAAAGAACAGCAGCATTGCCATTGTTGGTAGGGCAGTCTTGAGAGGTCTCAAGTCTGACTTGAGATGTCAGTCTCAAGTCCCCATACCATTGCTTGCACCTCTGGAAAAGGCAATTTTCCTCTCTCAGCCTGGTTCCCAATTCTGCTCTTGACTGTCCAACAGATTCCGTGCTTAACCAACTGTATCAGCCCATACAATTATTTTGCTGTGATTAGAATGATGAGCTAAAGTGCACAAGCAGCCTAATATAATAAAAAAAATTGTCAGTCTACATCAGACTAAGAAAAAAACTTTCCTTCTGATTTGCCTGCTGTTGAACAAAAAGCAAAGGGAAATTGCTTGTGATCTTCTACTCCCTGAGCATGAGTTTCTTTCATTTAGTTAAGTTAAAAATAAAATATATATCAGGGGATGATTAAAAAGAATAAACTTAGGAAATTTCCGCTTAAGCAGTCCTCTTCTCCTCTTGCAAGGCACTATGCCAAAGCACGCCACCTGAGTGCTCTCCTTTGACTTCTCAGGGCACGCATCCAGAACTAAGACATGCCTGACAGTCAGCCAGTAGAAGTTTGATCCCCTCTAGAGAAGGGTCACTACCCCTCACGAGAATCACTCACCAAACAATCTGAGTCTTTGCATGAAGGTAATCTGTTACTACAAATTTTTCAAGGACAACATAGCTGAAAGAACCCACTCGTGTCAACCCAGAACAAGCCAGGAGGGCAGGCAAGAGCATCTGGTACACATACGTCTTTATCCAGGGTTCGAAACATCTGGCTGATGACGCTCTCTGAGAAGAAGGTCATGGCATCCCACTGCACAAAGGACGGAGAGAAGATGGAGCAGAGACCTTCGCCTGTCTTAGCTGAAAGGAAGAGAACAGCGGAGCTCTCACCATGCTCCTCCCCGCATGCACACCACCAGGCTGATAAGCTCCCGCGCTGCAACATCTCAGCACTCACAAGTGTTTTGGTCACACAGCTCTCCCTGCAGACGCCTGGCAGGGATGCATCGGGAGCAATTAAGGTACTCCCGTATGATTTGCCTCATTCAAGTGAAGGCTCCTGAGACGTCAGTCTGACCTTTGAGATACTACAGGGAGCGACACCAACAAGTCACAGAAGGGAAAAGGAAAGGAGGGAGACCACCTGCCCGGCCTCAGCACTGCAGGCAAGACTGCCCTCAGTGTGACTTTGCAGAGCACCAAGCGGCCTTCCTTCACAGGAGGAAAGCCAGGTGACTGACAGAGGGATTTGCCAGACAGGCAGAAGTTCACTGGGCAAAAGTAATATGTTACAGAGATAGAAAGGCCCAAATAACTGTAAAATTGTATCAGAGGGACAGCTGAATCTGTTCTGCAAAGAGATTTGGGGCAGGGAAAGGAGAAGCCAGGGGCTTTACATTAGCTGTTCCATAGGTAGACTGCAAACGGTTACAGTTGGAGCGGGGTGGGTTTGATTTGATTTTGCTTTTAACTTGTGAAGACCTTAAAAGCCTGACACAGCCTAGCGCTGAGTCTTGGCTCGCCCTTTAAAAAAAAAAAAAAAAAGGCAAAAAAAAGGCAAAGATATTTCTTTTGGCTTGAATTAAAAAAAAAAAAATCCCATGTCCCTATTTTTTTCAGGTAACTTACAGTTCATGGGTCCAGTATCAACAGGAGCTGTGAGCTGGTACTTCAGCCATTCACCAGCCATGTGGAAGCCAGTTCGGGGATCCAGACGACAAGCCATCCTCATCACCTCCCCCTGCTGGGCTCGGAAAGCTGCAGTGAAAAATCAGACACCATGCAACAAGCTGATGCTGCAAATGCTCCCTTCCCCAGAGCTCACCTGCAGCTTTGCAGCCCTGGGAATGTTACCGACTGCTGCTCTGGCAAGAGCTGTGTGGTAAGCTCAGATATACAGTCAGTGAACAACTAGGTGTAACAGGATGTGCAATATTTGGGAGTGATTTAAATGGACTAAAAATGATGAAATAAAAAGCAGTGCAATTAAAATGCAATACGAATTATGAAAATGTATACTAAGCCCAAATTTACTACAATTAAGCCTCTATTTTTCATTAAAAAGAATTCTTCAAACTATACATGCTTGCTGCTTACAAATCACCTTGAGATACTGAAACGGAAAAACAGCATTAGATAACTACTGCTTCCTTCAGGTAAACACACTTTTTCTAAATTATTCCACTTAACCCAGTCCAGATTCTAGGCTGACAAGCTAATGTGAACTCAAAAAACCCAAAGAAGTCTTGTTTTCAGTTTCAAAGATAGGAAAAGCAAAGTACAGAACAGGAATTTCTTTTATTCCAAAATAGTCCAGTACATGACCACACAAAAGAATCAGCTCTGCTGACTACAGATGCAACTTGCATTGATTAAAAAAATTTGTTTTATCAAGTAATTTTATTTTGTGTTTCAAATCAGTTTTATTTTCTTATATATGTAATACCTTCAATATCACTTAACTCCCTAAAACTATTTCAAATTGTCTTTATGCATTTAGCTGCTTTTTGTTTTCCACCCAAAGAGATTTATTACAGTAAGTAAAAAACAAGCCACGCATAAGCAGTAAAAAAATGCAACAATTAAAATCTTCAAACATAAATGTGAAAAATAAGAATCTAAGTGATTCACTACGTATATACTCCCAGTCACCAAGTGAGTACCAAACTATACCAGCCAGGGAGAACCAACCTCGGTTTTGGGAAGTAAGATATAAAAAGAAAGAAAGAAAGAAAGAAAAAAGAAAAAATTAATACCCAGGGTTCCCTGTTTGCTGGTTTAAGCATCATGATTCAATTTGGCTGTTTTAAATGCTCAACTCTAGCTCTTGGTACTGAAGCAGAAGCTTCCTAGCAGGGCCAAGACAGATTTTGTTTCTGGAACGACATTTAAAGTCTTTTGTAAGCTGCCTTCCTCTCCTAACCTGAGCAGGACTCCAGGCTGTTTCATGTGACCAAAAGGCACATTTTCTTTGACACTAGGTAGCAAATGCTACTAGGCCTGGCGAGCAAGCAAATAATACCAAAGAGTAAGTAAAATGAAATGCCTCAGCTGCCACAGGAAAATCCTAAATTTTACTCCAAGATCCAGGCTGAAAGAGTCAAGACACAAATGGAAGCTGCCAAGCCAACATGGTAGGCTCCAAGCTCAGCCAGCAACTGACAGTAAAGAGGAAAAACACAGACAACAGCTTCCCCAAAGGGTGATGACAACTTACAGTTGAAGAAGGCATTGAAGTCCTCATCACTGTCAAAATCAAAGCGGGAGTATTCACAACTGGCACTGTCTGTTTTAGAGGGAAAGCCCACCTGGAGACAGAGCGGACAAGTTCAGGAAGGAAGAGAAGTCACCCATCACAGCCAACACCAGCTTCAAGGAGGTGAAGACTGAAGGCAAGGAACAGACAGTAAAACGCTGAGATAGAGCTGTTTGCTCAGTGGCCTGGTGTCTGTGGCAGACAAAATAAAAATGTAGTTTCTCCCCTCTGATCCACAGGCCATGTTCACCCAGGCACCTCCTCATACCCATCGGGCCACAGCTCCCCCATACCTTCACTAGGTTGGTCATAGATGCACGGAGATACTTGGGAATCATAGCCAGCAGCAAGGGGTCGCGAGACAGAACTTCGTGCCGAAAGAGGGCTCCCCATGTGATCTGGGTGGAAGAGCGCAGAAACTGGGGGGAAAAGAGGGGAACAGAGAAGGACTTCAGTGCTGGAATCTCCACTGCTAACATTAAATGTTGTCATCAGAAGGCAATAGCAAATTTCACTGACTATCCAGTTGAGCCCAATGCACCTTGCAGGCTCAACCCAAACTTCCAGAACACCAAAAATCTCCAAGTAAATAACAGGGCTGATTGCAAATTCCGTGCTTTCTACTCAGCACCTCTGTGTCAGGCACTGTTCCTAAAGGAGTGATAATGGAGGAGAAACCACTCTGCCTTCCAGGTCTTCAGCTGAAACAGAGAGCCTGGAAAGCAGTATTTGGCAGCTGAAGTTCTGCAGTCTTCCATAGGTTAGTTCAATCATGCATTCACACATTCTTACACAGACATACACAAGACTTTCAGCTCTTTACATACCTGGCTGGGATGGGTTGTGAAGGCTAAAAAGGAGTCAAGGTACTTTCCAAAGTTGGTTGGCGTCTCCACATCAGAATCTGAGCCCTATTAGGAAGACAAACAATTTCAGACAAAATACTAACTGTATGTCAGGCTGGGCTCACAAGTGGAACGTCTCTGGGTAAAGTAGGAGCGCTACATCCAAGGCCACAGATTGTAACGGAGCAGAGAAAAACACAGAACAGCGGCGATTGTTTCTGGAAGCAGTACAGCCTGGGGAGTAGCAAGTTCTGCCGACCAGCCTGGGGATGCTGGAGACAGCACCACCCTCACTCAAGAGAAAAGGGCGACTTTGCAGATACTGGAGTTCCATTAAAACCAAGTTCATGACTGCTGGTGCTGCTGCCATGAGTCACCATTTTACTCGTATTGGGTCAAGCCCTCCTGGCAGTACCGAGGTGGAGCAATTCTCAACTGCAGACTACAGAATTTCACAAGCAAATACACCCAGAGCATTTCACTCCCATTCCTCCAAATGTTTCCTGCATTTAACAAACGGACATCTCTTATCAATAACTTTCTGGGAGGTTTGTCAGGAAAGTAAGTTTTACCCGGAGCCATAAATTTGAGGTTTTGCTGCTCCTCACTAACCGTAATAGGACCTGGTGCCCTCAAGATCCCTGTTCTGGAGCCGCACAGCTCGGTGCTGCCTCTCCCAAGTGAATCTGGATGAGAGGACTCAAATCCCCATCTCATTACTTCATTACAACTAACAGCTCCCGCTGCCTAACAGCAAGTGAAATCACTGAAAGTAGTAACACACCCGGTGTTTGCTGACCACTCTTTTTAAGGATTTTTTTTAGTGGTGTGGTTTTTTTTTTTTTTCCTTTCCCTCCCTGGGAGAATTTACTCTGCTCTATCACCTGCCCAGTCTCCCCATTAACAACATCTCTCAACAGGCCTGCCTTCCTTACTGTGGAAGCACCGTGCTGAATGGAGGGTAGAAATTCAGCAGCCAGCATGGCATGCAAACTATCAGTGCACATCTTCATCTCAACATTGACACAAAGCATCAGAAAGATGAACAGCAGGAACAAAACCTTCCTTCATCTTGATAGAGTCTTGGTAGAAGAACAAACAAGTGTACTCTTTGAGTTATTTTTAATAGGGAAAATTAAAAGGCTTTCAACACAGGAATAATTTCCTGGAGTAGTTTTTCTGTAGTAGTAGACAGCAAGAGATTTGACCAATTCTCAATAAAGCTTCAGCATTTTACAGAGGTTACGGGAGATGATTTTGGATGACAGCAGAGCCCTGAAATCAGTCAGGGTCCCTGCATTCTACATTCCTATGATTTGGCAGGATACAGCTATCCCACTTGCAAGCAGAGCCATTTCTGCCTCTACCAAATGCATGGAGAGAACCCTACAGCTACCAAACATACAGTGAGAACCCTGGTGCTACCTTAGCTCAGAGTTGTCTCACTCCCAGCCCTAAAAACTAGCCTTGCCAGGGTTGCTGCTGGTGTACATGGAGACTTACTAGCAACGCACATAGCTGGCTGCCCAACGCACACAAAACTTGGCAAAGTCTCTTCAAGAAAACATAGTGCTTCTCCACCAGGCCTTCTCCATCTGCTGTCCTGGGAATGAGGGGAGAGGAAAAAACAGGATCACAGTTACTCATGCAGTAGGTAACAGGCACACTACTATCTATCTTGCAGATAAAAAGAGGACTATGGCAATTTGATTTTATTGCAGTGGGGTTTTCTTTGCTATTATCAAGCAGCACTGCTTTATTGGCATCTAAAACCTCTGAAATTGCCGCTCTGACAGAGTCCCCCCAATCAGTTTCAGGCTAAAAAAGAAAGCTGGGGATGCTGTGATATTTACACCACTTTGTCCTTCAATTATGGGATTTGAAAAAAAACCAAAACCAAACCAACTTGCAATTTTTCAGGTTTTGCAAAAGAAATGATGGTTTTCCTCTCTCCTAGCCCAGTCCCAGCTTCCTGCAGTCAAGCAGCAATATCCTTTGCAAATCACATCTATAAAGCCATTTGTGCGCAGTTTTGTGTGAAATTACAGCAGCAGGATGGTACTCACTGGGCAGCAGAGAGAATGTAGTGCATGGCAACATCTCCAAACAAGACCATCAGAGGCTTACGATCCTCCAGCTTACCCTGTGTGTAAAATAAGCCAAATGCCTCGATTAGAACATCACTACTTATTCCCATCTGCAAGTGAAATTAGGAGATCCCCAGCTGTCCTTCCATCTAGGAAGGGGCTTACAGTCCACAAATTATTTCAGCAAAAACGCACCAAAAATCTAAGGTATTCCAGGAGACCCCAAGAAATTTCCCCAAGCAATCCCACAACAGGAACTTTAAACTGAAAAACTGATCCCAAGCCATTAACTCTTCTTCACTGCAGACTGGCTAGTTATGTAAAGGCAGCTGATAAACACTCAGCCTTGACACTAAGCTGCTTGTGAAAGTATGGGTCAAATCACCTGTTCAGATCCTGCTGTCATTGCTCTGAGCTGCCAGATGACACTGCTGGTGACAATAATTCCCACTTTGCAGTGTATAAAGTGGGGGAAAAAAAAAGTTAATGGGGATCACAAACTTCAAAACTGCGAGGAGAGGCGAGCACAGAATTTGGAGAGGGTTCCAACAGTTGCTGTATGTATTGTGCTGGCATGACATCCACGCTAAGTATCATTAACATAAGCAGCAAAATTTGAATTTTGTTTCTTAAATAGAAGCGCAAAGATATTGTCACTCATTCTCAAGAGTTATGTAGGAGACTAGGAGGAAAACAAAGGGAAGCCAGAGGAGCTGAGGAGGAAGAACTCACTTTCCT